TTTGAAGGGAGGGAAGGGGACCCCTCCCGCAGTAATAATTAATACGGGGCGATAGGGTGGGGATGGTTTAATGCAGTTCATTTAAATACACAAAACTGTTCTTTCAACCTTTTTACAATAAACGTACCTCGTTACTTTCTCGTCTTACGTCCTAAGAAGAGAAAGTACTGTAAACGTGCGGCGGTAAGCAGCGATTTTTCGATAGAAAACTCTTAATGACAGGGCCTCGTAACGAAAAAGTGGAAAAACCTTGTCCCTTTATGTAGTAAATTATTTGTGACTCATGTAGTCAGAATCCAAGTTTTGTGATTCATTTATACCGAAAAATCCATTGCCGACATAACTCGTCCGTTGTCGGCGTGTCGTTCTCTGTCTGTCCGTTGTCCGTCTGTCCGTTGTCCGTCTGTCCATTGTCCGTCTGTCCGTTGTCCGTCTGTCCGTTGTCCGTCTGTCCGTTGTCCGTCTGTCCGTTGTCCGTCTGTCCGTCTGTCCGTTGTCCGTCTGTCCGTTGTCCGTCTGCCCGTTCTCCGAATGTCCATTCTCCGTATAAAGAAAGAAAAAAAGTATTGCCCATTCTGAAATTTGAACAACAGCACTAAGGTTCAAGAGAAAAGTTCAGATGTATTCCCGAATTGTTTATTGTGAACTTGTGTACCTGCCATAATAAGTTAACTCACATTTTTAATGCCTCTTTATGCACAGGAAAATTTCCAGATATTTTCAAAACATTAAGCCACTTTTTAAGGGAACAAAAATTAAATTCAAAATTACCGACCAATTTCTCATTTGTCAGTTTCCTCGAAAATATTAGAGGCTTTACTATACACGAATGGAAACTTTTGTCAGGAAAAATGAAGCGTTTTCAGACTCACAACACGGGTTTTGAAAATCAAAATCTACGGAAACAGCATTTTTTTCCTTTTCTTAAAGATGTTGCTTCATCAAAGGCAAAAAAAGCACCCATTGGAATATTTTTAGATCTTTCGAAAGCTTTTTGACTTCATCGCATATTGCTATCAAAATTACCTTCTTATGGAATTCGTGGCATCGCCCTAGATTGGATAGACCTTAAACATCGATCCCAAAGAGTAGAGACACCGTACTGGATCGAAAGGACATTATTTACTTATCTTCCCGATTCTTTCCCAATTGAATATGGGGTCCCGCAAGGTTTGATCTTAGGTCCTATCCACTTTCTGTTATACGTAATCGATATGCCCTCGCCTATTAAAAACGGAAGAACGGTTCTGTTAGCCGATGACACGAATGCTCTTTGCACAAAAAAAAACAATAAATAGTACGATTTCTGAAGTTTCAAATTGGTTTTGTAATAACAAAATAATAGTTAAAGATGGAAAAACAGTTTCAATGCATTTTTTCATTTCAAATCAGCAATCGCATGCAATTGCATTGAAAATGAATATGCAATTAGCCGATGTTAGGGTAACAAAATTTCTAGATTTCTCAATTCAGTCAAATCTCAAACCGAATATACATATAACATAATTAAACACTAAATTAAGTTCATTATGTTACACATTCAGAATTCTTTCAAATTTTGTCAGCCTTCATATAGCTCGTTGCGTGTATTTTGAAAATGTGCATTCCCGCCTGAGATATGGCATTACATTCTGGGAAAGCTCATCATATAGTACCCAGACCTTTAGATTGAAAAAGAAAATTATTCGAATAATGAAAAAATGCCATCCACGTGATCCCTACAAGCCTCTATTCATTGAGCTTGGCATCTTTCCATTGTGTTGCGTATTTATTTAGAGATATGTAATATTGGTCAAACTGATTTACATAACGGTGAGAACATATTTTCATACAATACTAATATTTATAATTACAACACACGTTATAGAAATCACGTTCATGAAGTGTCAGTATCAACAGCTCAATACCAGAAATCCACATAAAATACATGCACGTTACTTTACAACGCATTGCCAGATAACATTAAACAATTGAAGTCGCAACACAAATTTCAGTTAAAAGTATAATATTTTCTGCTTCAGAACTGTTTCTATACAATTAGAGACTATACTGATCATCAAAAAGAAAAATAATATTTATTTTAACAAAACTCAGTGATATATGATGAATTAGTTTACATTTGTATTGAGTATTAAAAAAAATACTTAGTATGCTTGTAACAAATAATGTATTTCAGCTTCTGGGTCAATGACCCCATCTCGATCCAGTTTTTGTCCAGTTTCCTTGATACATAGAGAAAATGCTGAGATGGCCCTTTGTTTTGCAATACAAATAAATATTTTTGAACTATTAGTTGATAAATATTTGATATTGACCTGGAGGCCTGCACAATACCCCTAACAACTAAAAGAGTTTTTCAAATAGCTTGTCTCTCATCTTTCTAGCTCTAGTGGTGGATCGTCAGCATTCTTATGCACCAAGAGGGACAGAAGTGAGAGAAGATGGAGGAAAACTCAATTGAAAAGTTAGAGAAGGCTTAGCAACAAAGTAACGAACTGAGTTTGAAGATTCAGTATCCGGAGAAACATCACAATATGCAGGAGCGGACCGTTTAGCCGCAGCATCTAGCGGAAACAAATGTTAGCAACACATTTCGAAATGCGCCTTACAGAAATAGGATTAAAGTGATAGAAATAACACTATACCGCAAAATTGTCTGTAAACCCCGGTCTTCGAACTCAGGTACTTAGGTCGATTCAT